AAAACTTAATGTTTTATGTAATCATTGAAAATAATACCGGTATATGAATATCATTTAATTTAAATTCGTGTATCATTTATATGAATATCATTTTCTCAATTATTGTTGTTATCATAAAATAAACATTCAGTATATCATGTTTACTATATTTATTATTTGATTATTTTGAGTTTATAAATTTACAATTTAACACGTTTATGATATTTGGTAATATTATTACCAAGTTGACACTCATCTATTTGTGTTTGCAAAATTGAATTAAAAAGTTACCATATTAGTAAATCTAATATCCAATTACGGGTACTATTTTAATGAATTTGTTCAGACATTACATGTATGCAATCCGTCATTAATAAGTGTTACATTCATAAATAATTACCACACATTTTCAGGTACTATTTTTAAATATCATTTATAACTTATAAGTGTAATTTTTATTAAACTATTTAAAATTGACAATTGACTAATCAAACATAATATATAGCAATACCTTACTTTAAAAACTTATTTTTTATGCAAAAAATACTGTACAAAAAGGCAAAATTTTAATGCGAGGAATAAGTTTTGTGCGAATGGATAGCAAACAGACGGAGAAACTGATTAAAGTGGACGAAGAGGTAGAAGAGCGGAAGAAAGATGAAAAAATAGTGGTTGATATACCGGACGGTCAGTATTGAACCATTATTTACGTTATTATATGTGATTGAGTTGTGATCAGAGATAACAAGAGTAAACTTCAAAATTAAAATAATCAAAACAATAGACATAATTAAAACTAATTGTCGAAAACTTGAAACACAGCCACTGCTAACAGAAGGAGTCGATTGAGGCCTAAAAGTGCCAGAAGTATTCGGGGCATGTTTAACGGTATGTATAAAAACATATTTATATAATTGTATTAATTTGTAAAATTTTACTAATATATAATTGTTATGTTTTAATAATTAAAACAATTCAATTGGTTGCAGACGAGAACGTTCCCAATGAAGAGGCCATATATAAACTAAATGAGAGGACTTGTTTCCATAAGGTTAGGTCATTGGATAAGTTTGTTTGCCGTAAATATCACATCGATTTGGACACAATGCAACTCCATTACGAGCCTTCAATCAAACCTTTCATGTGTAAAGATGTGCCCTATTGTAAGCAAATTGACCATGGTCATACGCTTTTAAATTATATACATTTTAGAGCACTTTTTTTTACTTTGTGTAAATGTTATGTCTTATTGTTCAACAATAAGAGCGGTAATCTAAATGATCACTTGATCTAATACTACCCCTCTTTGACCGATTCATTACAACATTACAAAATTTGTATGAATTTTTATATTTTCAGATGATTTATGCGATCTCTCGGAAGTGCGAAAGGGTTGGGAATCTGATCGTTATAATGTAATTGAATCCAGATTTCGGCGCAAACTTCACGCCTCTATTGGGCCAAAAAATTTGCCACAACTCGAAGAAAATAACTGTTTTTCACTAATTTTTGACAACGGCTTCAAAACCGAAGACTTAGTGGCGCCTAATGTCGAGACACGCGATGTGTGGGTAAAGGGATTGAATTTTTTAATCGCCAGTTATAAAAACCAAAACATTAACGAAGAATACGATGTGTATGTATTGTGTATGATTTGTCCCATAATATGGTTAATTGAAAATTGTTTAGTAATTGATATCGATTTTAATGATTGTCCTTGTCAACCGACTTCTTCGTCAAGGCTCTCCGCCTGTTCTTATTCTTGCCTTTAGACACAAAGTTTCTTCACCAAACAGAAAACTCAGCTTATTTGTATACAAACTTACTTTTTGTGCGGTTTCGGATCTTCGATGTGAGTGTTTTGACATTTAAATAAATGTATTGAATAAATAAATTATTGCTAACTAATTGAATGCAATGTACAGATGGCTCACATCCACAAACATAAAATGAATAGAAGAGATTTGACAGGAGATCACACACTAGACTGGGAAGAGTTCCTTATATTCTATCAATTGATTAATCAAAGACCAGAATTGGATGAACTCTTTCAAGAGTAAAACATTTTTGTTTGAATTAAAACAACGTTGCAGTTAATAATTTAATTTTTTACTTTAGTTATTCAGTGAACAGCACTTGTATTATGGGTCCCGAAGAGCTCAGAGACTTTTTGATTGAAGAACAGAAGGTATGCTTTCTTTCAAATTTAATGCAAAAATTAACTAAAATTGCTTTAACAACAGATGACAAAAGCGAGTTTAGCTGATTGTGAGGCATATATCAGTCGATACGAACCAAAGGATAGTGAAAATCCAGGCTATCTATCCATTAAAGGTTTATCTAACTATTTCTATGCGCTTTAAATTTTTGTAATTAATATAAGTTTTCTTTATGTTTAAAGGATTTTGCAATTTATT